GAGGCCCGGGGCCCTCTCCCTCTGGAGTCAGCACCTCAGCCCTGCCCCGTGTTCAGAATCAGGGATGTAGAGCCCCAAGCCCCGAGTGGACGGAGCACGCTCCGCCTGTGTGCGACAGTGAGGAGTGGGCTTCAGGTCACCTCCACGGCCCCTCCCCGGGGCGGCCCCTCTTTGAGGTGGCATCTGTGTAGCTGTGGCATGCACAACACCCTCATGATTTCTCTCTCTTTTCTCTCTCTGCCTTTCCTCTGGCACTTCCTCTTGTTTTTCTCTGCATGGTTTCTGTATTATTAGTCCCGAGGTAAGAACTGGCTGAGTGCCTTGTCTACAGCCCTTTTTCCGCCTTTGCCGTCTGTCCTGCCCGCCCAGGCCCTTTGCACCTTCTTGTCTGGAGAGCGTCAGGAGGGTCGGGTCGGGGCGCGCCTCTGCTGGCCGTGTGCGGCCGGCTCCACCTTCAGGCTGTCCTTGCCCTTCCCCACCCAGGTTCCTGTGCCCAGGTGTCTTCTCCGGTCTCGTCTCTCCCTAGGTGGAGGGCCTGCAGCGAAGGCCCGTGTGGGTGGGGCGCCCCTCCCCTTCTCGACCCAAGCTTCGCCTTCTGTCCCCTGTGCAGTGTGGAGGTCATCCGTCTGGGCCACAGCTACTTCATCAATTGGGATAAGAAGATGTTCTGCATGAAGAAGCGGACGCCTGCAGAAGCCCGCACCACCACGCTGAACGAGGAGCTGGGCCAGGTGGAGTACATCTTCTCCGACAAGACGGGCACCCTCACCCAGAACATCATGGTCTTCAACAAGTGCTCCATCTATGGCCGCAGCTACGGTATGGTGGTACCACTGGGGTTGGGGCTTGCACCTTGTCTGGAAGGGCAGTGGAACTGGGGCCCCACAGTTCCCTTAACATGGGGTTTTTCTTCCTTCCTATTTGGGTCTGAGGGGCCTCAAAAGGGTCCATCCTGGCCAGGCACAGCGGCTCATGCCTGTAGTCCTAGCACTTGGGAGGCTGAAGTGGGAGGATCGCTTGAGCACAGGAGTGTGAGACGAGCCTGGGCAATGTTGTGAGACCCCATCCCTACAAAAAATTTTCTTTCTTTTTTTTTTTTCTTTTATTTCCACCAAAGCAGCACACAAATTTTAAAATGAGCCAGGTGTGGTGGCGTGCACCTGTGGTCTCAGCTGGCCAGTGACTCAGGAGGCTGAGGGGCGAGGATCACTTGAGCTCAGGAGGTCAAGGCTGCAGTGAGCTGTGATCCTGCCACTGCACTCCAGCCTGGGTGACAGAGTGAGACCCTGTCTCTCGAGAAAAATCCACACACAAAGAAGAGGTCCATTCTCTGTCCCATGCCAGGAAGCAGATCTGGCTGGGCGCAGTGGCTCACGCCTGTAATCCCAGCACTTTGGGAGGCTGAGGCAGGTGGATCACCTGAGGTCAGGACTTCGAGACCAGACTGGCCAACATGATGAAACCCTGTCTCTACTAAAAATACAAAAATTAGCTGGGCGTGGTGGCGGGTGCCTGTGATCCCAGCTACTCTGGGGGCTGAGGCAGGAGAATCACTCGAACCCAGGAGGCGGAAGTTGCAGTGAGCTGAGATTGCACCATCGCACTCCAGCCTGGGCGACAAGAGTGAAACTCTGTTTCAAAAAAAAAGGAAGCTGACTCTGAGAGTCCTCCCCTGATGCCCGAACCCTGGTCTTAGCTCCAGGTGATAGGGGAGTTCCTTAGCTGTTGGAAGTGAGACACTGGCCTCTGGGCATCCTGGCCAAGCGGAACCCTGCTAGAGTCTCCCCCGTTGCTGCTCAGGGTCCTTGTGAGTCTGTGGAATGTGGCTGTGGTTGGCCCTCCCAGTGTGGCCCTGCTTTAGTGGCCTGTGGCTGTGCTGCTGGGATGGCCTGGGGCAGCATGTGGGGCTGACTTCTATGCAGAGTGTGGACGTGGCTTGTAGCTGCTTTCTGTACTGTCCCAGGCCTTTCGGCCAGTGTCTGAGCTGTGTCTGCTGCACGGGTCTAATGGGTGTGTAAGGAGGCCTGGGAGGTGTAGAATTGGAGCTGCTCTGGGGGAGTGCCATCTCAGGGTGGAGACAGGGATGGTGGAGACAGGGATGGTGCAGGGCTGTTTCATGACCAGGTCTAGGGGTTCTGGGGTCTGGGGTGCCTGCTGTCTTCTGTCCCTCGAGTCAGCAGTGTGACTGAATGACTGACGCTGTGACAGCTGTTCCACGATTAGGGTTGAGGGGCTCCGTGCCTGCAAGGATTCTGCATTGGAGGCATCTTTCCGTGCTCCGGAGCTCTCCGGCTCTGACATTGCTTCTTTTTCTGCCCTGGCTGTGTGTAGGTGATGTGTTTGATGTCCTGGGACACAAAGCTGAACTGGGAGAGGTAAGATTCAGTCTCTCTAATTCTATGTGCCAGTGAAACAGGGTGCCTGGCCAGTAACAGTTAGTGTAGTCAGGAGTGATGTGCTGTCTGGATAAGAAATGGAAGATGCTTGGAGAAATGGGTATTTTAAGGCAGAACTGGTGATGGAAGTAGAAATTTTGAGGTCCACGATGAACAGGATCCTACTGAGAGTTGGGGGAGCAGGGATGAACTCTTCCCCAGGATGCAGCCTGGCGCCCCAGCCTTTCCTAAGAGCCTTCTTACCTGTTCCAGAAGCCAGAACCTGTCGACTTCTCCTTCAATCCTCTGGCTGACAAGAAGTTCTTATTTTGGGACCCCAGCCTCCTGGAGGCTGTCAAGATCGGGGACCCCCACACGCATGAGTTCTTCCGCCTCCTTTCCCTGTGTCATACTGTCATGTCGGAAGAAAAGAATGAAGGTGGGCTGAGGAGCTGGCTGGCGCCCTCCTGACCTGACTTGCGCCCTTGGGCTCTGCTGGGCTCTGCTGCTCTGCAACGAAGCTGAGCTGGGGCTTCCTGGGCGGGGGCGTGTGGCTGAGGGAGGCCACTCATACCACATGTATTCTTCCTCCCCATCCAGGAGAGCTGTACTACAAAGCTCAGTCCCCAGATGAGGGGGCCCTGGTCACTGCAGCCAGGAACTTTGGTTTTGTATTCCGCTCTCGCACCCCCAAAACGATCACCGTCCATGAGATGGGCACAGCCATCACCTACCAGCTGCTGGCCATCCTGGACTTCAACAACATCCGCAAGCGGATGTCAGTCATCGGTGAGGCCAGGACCGGGGTGCTGGGGCGTTTAGGGCCAGCATTCAGGCCTGGAATGGGGGAATTGTGCCGGGTGACTCTTGACGGGTTTAGGTTGGGAGTCATTGCCTGTCTGAATTTTTCTGCTCCATTCATAGTGCGGAATCCAGAGGGGAAGATCCGTCTCTACTGCAAGGGGGCCGACACGATCCTGCTCGACAGACTGCACCACTCCACACAGGAGCTGCTCAACACCACCATGGACCACCTTAATGTGGGTGTGAGGAGAGGAGGGGCCCGCCTGGGGGTTCTGCTCCTCTTAGCTTTGTTTTATTGTGTAAATTTAAGGTTTACAACATGATGTTTTGATGTGTGTATATATAGTGATGTGATTACCACAGTCAGGCAAGTTAACACATCAGCCAGCTCCCACAGTGACCTCTTTTCGTGTGTGTGGAGACAGTCCCTAAAGCCTACACTGTTGGGACACGTCCAGTCGACAGTGCAGATGGTTCATTGTCATCCTCACACTGTCAGTTAGCTCTCCACACTTACCAGGTGTGCCCCTCCACTCTGCCTCCAGGAGTACGCAGGGGAAGGGCTGAGGACCCTGGTGCTGGCCTACAGGGACCTGGATGAAGAGTACTATGAGGAGTGGGCTGAGCGACGCCTCCAGGCCAGCCTGGCCCAGGACAGCCGGGAGGACAGGCTGGCTAGCGTCTACGAGGAGGTGGAGAACAACATGATGGTACAGGCTGCGGGACGGGCCAAGGGTGGGCACGGCGGGCTCATACCTGCAACTCTTGTGCCAGGAACCCTTGTGGTATTTTCAGCTCCTGGGTGCAACGGCCATTGAGGACAAGCTTCAGCAAGGGGTTCCGGAGACTATTGCCCTCCTGACGCTGGCCAACATCAAGATTTGGGTGCTAACCGGAGACAAGCAAGGTGAGAGCCCAGCAGGGCAGGGCAGTTGCAACTGACAGTAGCCCCATTGGACCCTTGCATGGAGCCGAGGACATCAGGCAGGCGAGTGTGCTGACCTTGTTGGGTGCCTGTCCGTAGCTCCTGCGTTCTCTCTTGGTAGAGACGGCTGTGAACATCGGCTATTCCTGCAAGATGCTGACAGATGACATGACCGAGGTGTTCATAGTCACTGGCCATACTGTCCTGGAGGTGCGGGAGGAGCTCAGGTAAACAGGAATCAAGGGACGTGGTGCTCTGCATTGTGCCCAGGGCTCAGGAGGGGGTTTCGGGACCCTGTTTGGGTTTGAATCCCAGCTCCCCACTGCCGTCCTGGAAGACCACAGCTGTATCATTTCTGCCTCAACAGGAAAGCCCGGGAGAAGATGATGGACTCATCCCGCTCCGTAGGCAACGGCTTCACCTACCAGGAGACGCTTTCTTCTTCCAAGCTAACTTCTGTCCTGGAGGCCGTTGCTGGGGAGTACGCCCTAGTCATCAATGGTCACAGCCTGGTAGGCATTGCTGTCCTTAGCTTGGGCAGTATCTTTCCAGGGAGTACTTCCGTCCCATGACTTTTATATCTTGTTCTGATTTCCCCTGATTTTGGAGAAGGCTCTGGTCTCAAAGGGGATGGGGAGGAGCTGAGACTCCCAGGTGTCTCCTGGGAAGACTGGCTCTCTCAGCCTTCTCTGTGCTCCAGGCCCACGCGCTGGAGGCGGACATGGAGCTGGAGTTTCTGGAGACAGCGTGTGCCTGCAAAGCTGTCATCTGCTGCCGCGTGACCCCCTTGCAGAAGGCACAGGTGGTGGAACTGGTCAAGAAGTACAAGAAGGCTGTGACGCTTGCCATTGGAGATGGAGCCAATGATGTCAGCATGATCAAAAGTAAGTGTGGACTCTGCAGGTGTGCAGGCTGGGCGTGAGGCTGGGGAGGGGCCCACTGAGTCTCTGCACTGGAGAAGAATGACGGGAAGGGGCTTGTAACTGGATAGGCTCTCAAGTGTGTGGCTGTCTTCATCCTCTTGTCATCTCTTGTCTCTGCAGCAGCTCACATTGGTGTGGGCATCAGTGGGCAGGAGGGGATCCAGGCTGTCCTGGCCTCCGATTACTCCTTCTCCCAGTTCAAGTTCCTGCAGCGCCTCCTGCTGGTGCATGGGCGCTGGTCCTACCTGAGAATGTGCAAGTTTCTTTGCTATTTCTTCTACAAAAATTTTGCTTTCACCATGGTCCACTTCTGGTTTGGCTTCTTCTGCGGCTTCTCAGCCCAGGTAATAAATGTTTTCAGTCCACTGTAGTGCAAGTCGGTAAACCTCAGGGCAGAGATTCTGTCGTGTTTATCACTCAGTCCCGCAGGGCCTAGCTATTTTCTGGTACATACTCTTAAAAAAAGTGCTTATTGCCGGAACGGTGGCTCACGCCTATAATCCCAGCACTTTGGGAGGCCGAGGTGGGTGGATCACGAGGTCAGGAGTTCGAGACCAGCCTGGCCAAAATGTTGAAACCCCGTCTCTACTAAAAATACAAAAATTAGCTCGGCGCTGTGGCACGCGCCTGTAGTCCCAGCTGTTCAGGAGGCTGAGGCAGGAGAATTGCTTGAACCTGGGAGGTGGAGGTTGCAGTGAGCTGAGATTGCGCCATTGCACTCAGCCTGGGTGACAGAGTGAGACTCTGTCTCAAAATAAAAGAAAAGTGCTTATTAGGCCGGGCGCAGTGGCTCAGGCCTGTAATCGCAAACTTTGGGAGGCTGAGGCATGTGGATCACCAGAGGTCAGGATCACCTGACCAACGTGGAGAAACCCTGTCTCTATTAAAAATACAAAATTAGGCCGGGCGCGGTGGCTCAAGCCTGTAATCCCAGCACTTTGGAAGGCCGAGGCGGGTGGATCATAAGGTCGAGAGATCGAGACCATCCTGATCAACATGGTGAAACCCCGTCTCTACTAAAAATACCAAAAAAAATTAGCTGGGCATGGTGGCGTGTGCCTGTAATCCCAGCTACTCAGGAGGCTGAGGCAGGAGAATTGCCTGAGCCCAGGAGGCGGAGGTTGCGGTGAGCCGAGATCACGCCATTGCACTCCAGCCTGGGTAACAAGAGCGAAACTCCATCTCAAAAAAAAAAAAAAAAAAAAAAAAATACAAAATTAGCCGGGTGTGGTGGCTCACACCTGTAATCCTAGCACTTTGGGAGGCTGAGGTGGGTAGATCACCTGAGGTCAGGAGTTAAAGACCAACCTGGCCATCATGGTGAAACCCCATCTTTAAAAAAAAAAAGGGACTGTCTCAAAAAATACAAAATTAGCCAGGCGTGGTGGCACATGCCTATAATCCTAGCTACCCGGGGCTGAGGCAGAAGAATCATTTGAACCCAGGAGGCAGAGGTTGCAGTGAGCTGAAATCGTGCCATTGTGCTCCAGCCTAGGCAAGAAGAGCAAAACTCCATCTCAAAAAAAAAGGGCCGGGCGCGGTGGCTCACACCTGTAATTCCAGCACTTTGGGAAGCCAAGGCAGGCAGATTGCTTGAGGCCAGGAATTCAAGACTAGCCTGGCCAGCACGGTGAAACCCCATGTCTACTGAAAATACAAAAATTATCCGGGCATGGTGGTGCATGCCTGCAATCCCAGCTGCTCAGGAAGCTGAGGCAGGAGAATTGCTTGAACCCGGGTGGCAGAGGTTACAATGAGCCGAGGTTGCGCCATTGCACTCCAGCCTGGGTGACAGAACAGGACTGTCTCAAAAAAAAAAAAAAAAATGACTATTAAAGAAGGAGAGGTGTCTGAAAAAATTTCTTAGTGTTCTCTGTATGTGACATCAGCTGTCTTCCTGTGCCTGATGTGTAGCAAAGAAAGGTTGCATGCTCCCTTGCTCCCTGTTCTCTTCCAGACTGTCTATGACCAGTATTTCATCACCCTGTATAACATCGTGTACACGTCCCTGCCAGTCCTGGCTATGGGAGTCTTTGATCAGGTATGGGGGAGTTGGATGATCAGACGGGATTCGGGGAAGGTCACTGCTTGAAGGAGTCACATAGACGTGGCGTGTGACACTTGTGCCCATTGCCTGTGGCCACTGGGAAGGCAGTTCTTTTAGCTGGGGAGGGTGTGGCTGGTTCTCCCTCCTGGCTGCAGCTGATCTAGAACTCTCCTGGGTTGCTGAACTAAGTTAGACTGCGGGTAGCTGGCTTGAGGTTGGTTGTAGTTGCCAAAGACTTTGGAAAGGAGGAGGCAGGGACAGAGTCTGCGCTTGACCATCCTGAGTCAAAACGGTAACCTCTTAGGCACCCCCATGCTATGTGATCCTCCTATACAGGATGTCCCTGAGCAGCGGAGCATGGAGTACCCTAAGCTGTATGAGCCGGGCCAGCTGAACCTTCTCTTCAACAAGCGGGAGTTCTTCATCTGCATCGCCCAGGGCATCTACACCTCCGTGCTCATGTTCTTCATTCCCTACGGGGTGTTTGCCGAGGCCACCCGGGATGATGGCACCCAGCTGGCTGACTACCAGTCCTTTGCAGTCACTGTGGCCACATCACTGGTCATCGTGGTTAGTGTGCAGGTATGAGGCCATCCAGGAACTCCCCTCTTCTGTGGAAGGAGTGAGCCTTCTGTCCCTGGGGCTGCCCTGGGCACCACAGTTCTGTTTCAGGGGGAAGGGGTTTTTGAGGGGTGCGCCTGCCTGACTATGCCTACTTTCTGCAGATTGGGCTGGACACAGGCTACTGGACGGCCATCAACCACTTCTTCATCTGGGGCAGCCTTGCTGTTTACTTTGCCATCCTCTTTGCCATGCACAGCAATGGGCTCTTCGACATGTTTCCCAACCAGTTCCGGTTTGTGGGTAAGTCCCTGTGGCCTCCTTGAATCAGTGAGAATCATCACAGCTGTTCTGGGACTAGCAGGGCGGTCATCCGGTCTGCACATTTGACATTCCTTATGTGCCAAATATTCAGTGAGGTGCTGAGGGGATACTGAGTTCTATCTGACCCAGGCCTTGCCCCCAAAGAGCTTCCATGTCCATAAAAGTGAAGAACATCCCTGCCAGACCACGGGAGGCCAGGCCTCGTGGTCAGCAGAGTTGCTTTTGGTGCGGTAGCCAGGGACAGTTCCAGAGAGGGGGCTGCTGTGAGTAGAGAAAGGAGTGGGGAGTCAGATTCCAAGCTGGAGAACTGGAGGTGTTTGTAGGGAATGGAGAGGGCTCCAGCTGGAATGGGCAAGAACCCTCATTGAGAACCAGTGGGAGAGGGGCTGGAAAGGTGTCAGGATTGCATTCAACCTGCTGGGAGACCTGATTCATTTCTTTAGAGGAAGAGAAGGGAGCAGCATCAAAAGATTGCTTGGAGAAAGATGAAGTTGGCACTGATGTCCAGCAAGGAAGTTACCGGAGTGACCGAGTGTGAAGTGGTTCAGAATTGGTGCCAGGGTGGCCGTGGTGGGTGGCAAAGAGGTGGGAGGTATGAAGTGAAGGAAGCATTTACAGGTCTTGGCATTTGCTTCAGATCTGTTTGTTCATTTATCACACAAGCATTTTATAGCACCTAGTATGTGACCCATTATTCTGAATGCCCGGGAGGCTGCAGTTAACCAACAGGTGAAGCGGTTGCCCTCCTAGATATTATATATGAGAGACAGATAATTTATTGTAGCGGGAAATTAGAGATTTGGAGAGACCAATGGGGTTGCAGGAAGATTTTATTTATCATGATCATGGGCTTAGCAGAATTGCTTTTTAATTTTGAGCAAAGGACAAAGAAAATGGGGTGCTTTTTAATGCACCTGGGTGGTACAGGATGATGAAGCAGAAGCCAGAACAGAGAGCAGTTAACCTGTGACATGATTTGTGATGTACTTTACATTTGAAAAATAACATTTTGAGAAACGCATTTTGCAATTCTGAGTTTATTTGCTCTGTTACCTTGCAGCTGGTTAGCAAGAAAACCAGGAATTTTTAGATGCCTTGGAACTTTGCTGAGAATGTGGGGAGGGTAAATAAGGTTTACTGGTTTGCAGGAAGGCAGTTATTCCACCTTAAACAGAGCTGGGGAGGTATCGTGTTAAACAGCACACAGCACGGTGAAATTTATTATAGAACCACTATAAATTATAAAGTTTTGTTTTACTATTATTGCTATTATTTAATTTTTTTTATTATAAGTGAACAGATATAATGTCTGGAACTAATAAGTCCTTTAAGAAACATTAAGTAGGCTAGAGAGTGACAAGCATTGTCAGCAAAGACCTCTTGAGGAAGGGACATTGGCACAGATAAATCTTTTTTTTTTTTTTTTTTTTTTTGAGGCGGAGTCTTACTCTGTCGCCAGGCTGGAATGCAGCAGCATGATCTTGGCTCACTGCAACCTCTGCCTCCCAGGTTCAAGTAATTCTTCTGCCTCAGCCTCCCGAGTAGCACCTGCTACCACACTTGGCTCATTTTTGTATTTTTAGTAGAGATGGGATTTTGCTGTGTTGGCCAGGCTGGCCTTGAACTCCGGACACCTCAGGTGATCCACCTGCCTGGGCCTCCCAGAGTGCTGGATCACTGGTGTGAGCCACCATGCCCGTCCAGCACAGAGAAACCTGAATAAAGGGAAAAGGAGCATGCCATGTGGCTCTCTGGGAGCTGTCAATCCAGGAAGAGGAAACAGCATATAAAGGCCTTCAGCTGGGGCTTGGGAGGTCTTCTGCATGTGGAGCTGGAGAGGAGTGGAGGAAATGAGTTGGCGGGGGAATGGGGAATGAGTCCAGTTTATTTAAGCCCTTATGGGTCAGAGGAAGAACTTTGAATTTTTGAATTTTAATCTAAATGTAAGCAGAAATCATTGGAGGGTTTTCAGCAGGGAACTACCATAAGCTTACTTATGTTTTTAAAGGGCCACTCTTAATAGTTTTGTGGGTAATAAAGTGTAGGGGGCAAGGGTGGAAATGGGGAGACCAGTTAGGAGGTGAGAGCAATCACCAGGTGAGAATAATCAGGGCTTGGAATAGAGTAAAAGGCTGTGGGATTCCAGAGATGTTTTGAAAATGGAACCAACAGATTGAATGTGGGATCCAAAGAAGAGAGAAAAATGAATCAAGATTTTTAAAAACTCCCAAAAAATAGAAATTAAAAAAAGTTTTTTTAAAGAAATGAATCAAGATCCATTGCAGGATTTTTAGTGGGAGCAACTGAATGGGTTGTGGCATTTCCTGAGCTGAGAAAGACCCAGACCAGATTTGGGGGAAGGACACAGTAGCTGAGTTTTGGCCACGGGAAATTCGAGATGCCTGTTAGATGTTCTATAGGCATGTCAAGTCCGGCACTTGAAGCAGCAGGTCTGGAGCTTTGGGGCAGTTGGGAACTAAATTTGGAGATCTACATTTGGAGGGTGGGCCTGGAGAAGTGGGAAGCCAGAGCGGACTGAGGCTTGGAGAGTGGGAAAGTGGAGCTGCCCGAAATCGGAATGGGGAAGGTCCGTATCGTGACTCCCGAGGCCACCGACTCCTCTCCGTCCCCAGGGAATGCCCAGAACACCTTGGCCCAGCCCACGGTGTGGCTGACCATCGTGCTCACCACTGTCGTCTGCATTATGCCTGTGGTTGCCTTTCGATTCCTCAGGCTCAACCTGAAGCCAGATCTCTCCGACACGGTGAGAAGCCGGGTTACCCGCTGTGGGAGGCAGCGATGGGATGTCCAGAAAGGCCCCTGGCTTGAACACTGGTGGGGCTCAGCAGGGCCGTGTGACCGCTCAGTGTGTTGGTGGTGCTTATCTGCTCTCCCTGGGGACAGACGTCCTGTGCAGATGGCTGCGGAGGCCTCCACATCAGCCTGGTCCCCGGTGCTCAGGGTCCCTTCTCCTCGGTGATGTCTGACATCTCCACGCTGACAGAGGGCTCTTCCCTGTGCCCCTCTGCAGGTCCGCTACACCCAGCTGGTGAGGAAGAAGCAGAAGGCCCAGCATCGCTGCATGCGGCGGGTTGGCCGAACAGGCTCCCGGCGCTCCGGCTACGCCTTCTCCCACCAGGAGGGCTTTGGGGAGCTCATCATGTCCGGCAAGAACATGCGGCTGAGCTCCCTCGCGCTCTCCAGCTTCACCACCCGCTCCAGCTCCAGCTGGATTGAGAGCCTGCGCAGGAAGAAGAGTGACAGTGCCAGTAGCCCCAGTGGCAGTGCCGACAAGCCCCTCAAGGGCTGAAGGCCGAGGATGGATGCCCTGTGCCAGTGACCAGAGCACCCAGGGCTGGCCAGTCACTGAGGGAACAGCGTCTCCGAACTGCTGGTCCTCACTCCTTGCCTCCCGTCCTCCCTGGTAGACTCTGTCCTGCTGGTCCCGCCACGCGTGGCTGGGGCATCCATCCCCAGCTGCAGGCCCTTCCACCAGCTGGGGAGCTAGAGGGAGCAGGCCCAAGGGCAGAGCAGAGGCCGAGGCACGGGGAGCCAGCTCTGGTTGGGGACCAGATGTGGAACCAAAAACGAGAAAAAACTGTGAGAGATTGCGTCTGCCCCTGCCCTGCCTGGGACCCACAGGGAGACTATAATCTCCTTATTTTTTTACTCCTACTCCCCAGAGGGGCCCTAGCGCCCCTGTTCCTGACTTACACAAGAATGTACCATGCCGGGAAGCCAGAGACCTGCGGGGGCCTCGGTCCCTCACGTCGTGTTTGTCTCTCCTTGATTTGTGTTGTGTCCAGTTTGGTTTTGTCTTTTTTTATTTGGCAGGTGGAGGAGGCCTTTATGTGACTTTGATGTGGTTGGTGTCTTAGCTCTCCTGGGAAGAGGAGGCGGGCACACACTGGGATGCTGCAGCCTGCCGGGCTGTGGGGTGGTTCGGGAGGATCCGTGATGGCTCTCTCTGCAGTGGCCAGTGCTCTGTGGGACAGAGGAGCTGACCAGGAAGGGAGGTGCCCGTCAGCAGAGGGTGGTGGGAAGGGCAAAGGAGGGTTTGGTCCTGTCTCCTTCCTCACCTTGAGAGTATAGTGCTGCCCGGTGCCCCCAACACACATGTATCAGTTCCTGGGTTCCTTAGTCCTGCTGGCCTTGGGCTGGAGCCTGGGAAAGTGGCCCCCAAATCCTTAGTGAGCTAAACCTGGGTCTGAAATTTGGTCGGTGGGGAGGGGTAGTTTTCTTTAATATTAAATCTAAACCCAAGTTTATTGGCAGATGCCCTTTTAACCTCCCTTTGACTCCCCATCTGGCGCTTTCTTGCACCTAAACCCCAGGGCCCTGCACCTGAGATGAGGCTGGAAGGGGAACTGGCCTTTCTTCTCCTTTCTCCCAGAAGCAAGGAGCCCCGCCCCTCAGGCCCAGCATCTGGCAAGAGGTGGTGGAGTCCTCGTACTGGGTGGTAGAGGAGGGGAAGGGCACAGCCAGGCCCAGGCCAACACCTGGCTTGGTCTGGATGGGACACAGTCAAGAGTCCGGCCACAGCCTGTCCTTTACATCGTCCACACCTATGAAGCTATTCCCTAAATAAGGCGTTTCCCAAGGTAGTCGCTGCCTAATCAGCCCTGAGAAGAATCCTTTCCTCTTTTTTTTGGTAGTGGGTCAGGGGATACTTCAGGAATGGTGTGGAGCTGGGAGTGGGTCGAGGGATTTTAAATGTTCCATGTGGGAGCCCCAAAGGAACTGGAGGGGCTGCAGTGAGGGGATGGGTGGGCGGGGAGTGCGAGAGGGGTCTTGGCAGGGAAATCCCTTTTGGCCGCACAGTTTACAAACCCAGTATCATGTCTGTCTGTGTGTCTCTCAAGGTGAGAGTCTGATTTTTATACCAAAGAGGAAATGATTTTTTTTCATATTTTGTTTGTCTATATTATATAAATATATATATATACAGTTATATATATATATATATTATTTTTTGGTTCTCTCTCGTTTTTTAGGGAGGGAAGAAAGTACCAAGTTGCATTGAGCTGTAATTAAGGAACGTTATAATTTATGACACATTTCTATACTTGCAAAAATTATATCATTTTATGGATATAAGAGAAAATGCCTTTTTATAAAATTTCAATTTCTGAGAAGTGTGTAATTTGTCGCTTTTTCTGATGTTTAACCAAGACTGGTAGTGAAAGAAAAGACAGAAACTGTCCCTTAAATGTTGAGCGGGTGGATCTGGGATATCATGAACAAATTGGAATCTGACTAGTGGGGAACAGTACCTTGTCCATTTGCAGACCTCCCGGGATCTGAGTCTCATCTGAAGATGAAGCTGGGATACCGGGTCGTACTGAGGCAGATCATGGGACTTTGGCCGGGTGCCTAAGACCTTGAACTGTTTACTTCTCCAAACACAGGCCATCCTCTCATCCCTAACACACGCCAGATGGGGGTGTGTAAGGAAAGCACCTGGTACACATTTTAAGGTTATTTTATTTTAGTTTTTTACTCCCCGCTTTTCCCTGTGCCTCACATCTTCCTGGCTTCTCACGTGAGTGTCAAGGGAGCTAAATCATACATACTTTTTTTTTTTTTTTTTTTTTTTTTTTTTGAGATGGAGTCTCACCCTGTCCCCCAGACTGGAGTGTGATGGCATGATCTTGGCTCACTGCAATCTCTGCCTCCCCGATTCAAGTGATTCCCCTGCCTTAGCCTCCTGAGAGCTGGGAATACAGGTGTGCGCCACCACGCCCAGCTAATTTTTTGTATCTTTAGTACAACACCTGGTCTCCAACTCCTGACCTCGTGATCCACCCTCCTCAGCCTCCCAAAGTGTTGGGATTCCAGGCGTGAGCCACTGCGCACGGCCATTAAGTCTTACATTAAAGGGAGATTTCCTCCAGGGAAAGGAGGGCGATGAGGATGGCGTCCCAGGAGTCAGGGCCAAGGTTAGTGCTGGCCCAGAGTATAGCTTTCTCCAGCGATGGCCAATATCAGCATGAGCCAGCCCTGCCCCCGGGGCCGGTTTCCACCTGACACAGCCAGTCTTCTGTCACAGAACAATCCTTCATTCTCAAAAACGTAAACTGGCCGAGGGAGCTCACGCCTGTAATCCCAGCACTTGGGAAGGCTGAGGCAGGAGGATCACTTGAGCCTGGCCCAGGAGTTCAAGACCAGCCTGGGCAACATGGTGAGACTCCACCTGTATTTTTACAAAAGAGGGGAGGCTGGAGGGGTGTATGGGGGGATGATGTGAAGAGAAGATCTGTTTCCCTCTGCAGGAGAAACAGTCCCAGGCGGGAATCCTGCCACAGACCCCCCATGAACGCCGCCTGATAACCCACCTGCACCCAGGAGGCTGTTTAGTCCACACCAGGCATTCTCCAGGGTCTGAGGAACCCTGAGCCTTGGGCAGCAAGTGGCATCTGGCCTCAGTGCCCCCACCCCTGCAACACAGAAAGAGGCCTTAATCTCTTGAGGCTGGTGAGGCCCCCAACCCCACCCCTCCCCCGGGACGGGTCCTCAGCTCTGCCTGTGCCTCCTGCCCCGCTGGTCTCCTGCTGCTGCTCCGTTCAGCCTCGGGGAAACTCTTCCCTGGCTCCTCTCGCTTACCCTAGCTCTCCTGCACCCAGGATCCCACTGGGTGTGTCTGAGGGGCAGGGCCAATATCATTTTAACTCTCACTGCCTCTTGGGGGGCGCATTTTGTTCTTCACAATATAGACACACGCCTCCTCGGAGGCTCTGGCCACTTGTGCCCCCGTTTTCTCCCCTCTGCCGCAGGCGTCCCTGGTCTTCCCTCCCTGCGCTGCCTGAGCCCTTGGACCCCTGTTGGAGGGGCTTCCAGCCTCTCGGTCCCCATCTGAGGACCTTCTCTGAGTGGCGGAGGTGAAGTCTGTCTGATACCCCAGCTTGGTTCCCCTGGGCCTCCTCATCTCCACGGTGTTCCTCTCCACTCCGCTAAAGCAGCACACACCCGTGGGCGCCCACGGCCGTCGGGAGGAGCTCCAGCTCTGAACTCCCCCAATTCATTCAGCATTTGGCCAGCCATACTCTTCAGTTCTTCTCCCTTCCATCTGTGCTCCCAGCGCAAACTACGGCCCCTCCCTTTCCTCCTGGTCGCTTGCTTCCTTATAGGAACCTGTAAGTGCTTCCCGATCCAGCCAGGAGCCCGTGGTCTGGTACTGGTCGCTCTGTCCGGGAATGTTCCAGCACTGGGTCAGCGCAGCGTCTCCCAGGGTGAGCTGTGAAATGCTGAAGGGCCGCACAGCCACGGAGCAAGCACGGAGGAGATGCTGGGAAGCTCATTCTCCTGCCCCTCCTCACCTCCTGCCACCACCTCCCACCATGCCTCAGCAGATGGTCCTGCCTCCCACTTCACGGAGCAAAATAGCTTCTGCAGCTTTCCTGTCACCTACAAATCCCACCGCACACAGGCACGCCGGCCTTCCCCTTCCCCTGCCTTGGGAGGCCGGGCCCTCCCCCTCCCCCTCCCCCTCCCCTCCCCCTTCCCTTCTCCCTCCCCCTCTCCTTTCCCCTCCCTTCCCCTCCCCCTCCCCTTCTCTCCTCCCCCCTCCTCCCCCTTCCTTTCCCCCTCCCCCCTCCCCTTCCCCCTCTCCTTCCCCCTCCCCCCCCAGCACCTTCCATTGTCCTCCGCTGGGACCGTCTCTTGACTTTGCCTTCATTTCCGTCTCTGTTGATTCTTTCCTTCCCCAAATAAGCCTGCTCGGTTTCTTCCCCTCACCCCACCCCTCACCCCTGTCAGCTCTGTTGTGGTCTGTGTCCTCCCTTATCTCCTCCGCTGCCTGGACTCTGGCATCTCCTTCACCAGCCCCTGGAATGCTTTCGCTGAAATCACCTTTGACCTTCATGTTGGCCGAGTCCGGAGAGCATTTCCAGGTCTGATCTGACTTCCAGGCTCTTAGTCGTTTGACTGTGTTGGCCACCTTCTCCTTGAAACCCTGTCCTCCGCTGGCGGTTTTCCACCTTCTCCTGGTTTAACCACTGCCTCTCTGGTAGCTCCCTCCTTGGAGTGCCTTCCTGTGTTTTTCCCACCATGCCCCAGGACTCCATCTTTGGCTCTAAGCCTTTCTGGTCTGTGAAGGGTCCTTGAATGTCCCCATCCAAACCCACGGTTTAAATAAGATTTGTTTAAACAAGATTTAACAATTAATGGCCGGGCACGGTGGCTCACACCTGTAATCCCAGCACTTTGGGAGGCCGAGGAGGGCGATCACCAGAGGTCAGGAGTTCGAGACTAGCCTGCCCAACACGGCAAAACCCCATCTCTACTAAAAATACAAAAAATTAGCTGGATGTGGTGGCCGGTGCCTGTAATCCTAGCTACTTGGGAGGCTGAGGCAGGAGAATCACTTGAACCCGGGAGGCAGAGGTTGCAGTGAGCCAAGATTGTGCCACTGCACTCCAGCCTGGACCACAAGAGCAAAACTCCCTCTCAAAAACAAACAAACTAACTAAAACAATTAAATGGAGAGTCGCCATTGACTACCTCTAGATTGGACTTCCTTCCCCTACTCCATGCTCCAGACTCTTGTATCCAGTGATCCATTGGATCCCTGTACTAGGACAGCCTGCCACCACCTCATATTCAACATCCTCACATTGAACGTCAATTTTCCCAACACCTGTTGCTCCTCCCGCATTCTCTATTTCAGTGAGCAACATGATCTCCGAAGTCACCAAAGCCGGACACGCAAGTCCTGGAGAAACCTCTGCTCCGGGCCCACCACGCTAAATCATATATTTCGTCTTATTTGATGTGGAGCATGAAATGATTAAACTGCAATGTCCTGAGTCACTGTTTCCCAGTGATTGTGACCTAGGCAGGGTCACAACAGTCATATTTCTGTTCCCGAAGAGGGGCTGGTTAGGTTGGGACTCAAAGAAATTCTGCCACAAAGGTTCAAAGGCACCTTCACTGGTCCTGAAAGAGAGATGGGAGAGACCAGAGTGCTCAGATGAACAGGCAGGCTGCTGCAACGTCCCACTGTAGCCACCCTACAGAGCACGAGGGCGGGACTCACTGACAAAGCCCCAGGACTACTGACTGCAGTCTCTGCTACGGAGGGAGAAGCCATTCACAGAGATGCACTAAACACTGAGCTCTGTGGCTGAAGGAAGGAGCTGAATTCTCCCCCTTTTTTTTGAGACAGTCTCCCTCTATTGCCCAGGCTGGAGTGCTGCATCGAATTCTGCCTCTTATCTCTACTCCAGCGTCCTATCTTGAAGGACTGTGTCCTGACCCCAGTGAGAGACATGACCTGTCTGACTCTCCCCACCCTCCCTGGAAACTTTCCAGTACTCAGTGAGTTTCTGGGAGCTGCCCTGCCCGACACCCACCTGGGGAGGGTGTAGACTTTATCTTGCTGGGCTGAGAGGGAAGTCTTTCTCAATGCTAGTCTATTAAAACACGCTTTGGGCTGGGCACGGTGGCTTACACTTTTACAAAGTGCACACAGTTTAATAGGCTCCTTAGCTGTTCACCTAGGGATGCCTCAGGCAGGCCTGCCCTGAATGTTCATGGAACTCAGGGCAAGTAGCAAATAGAGGCCCACGTACCACATGTCTGAATACAGAGGAGTTATGGGATCAAAGTATTCTCTGTCCTGCTACCTTGACACATATATCTTCCCAACAATTTGGATGCCAGGTTTGAATTTAGAACCTGCCCCATGCCGGGCGCGGTGGCTCAAGCCTGTAATCCCAGCACTTTGGGAGGCCGAGGTGGGTGGATCATGAGGTCAAGAGATCCAGACCATCCTGGTCAACATGGTGAAACCCCGTCTCTACTAAAAATACAAACCATTAGCTGGGCATGGTGGTGCGTGCCTGTAATCCCAGCTACTCAGGAGGCTGAGGCAGGAGAATTGCCTGAACCCAGGAGGTGGAGGTTGCGGTGAGCCGAGATCGCGCCATTGCACTCCAGCCTGGATAACAGGAGTGAAACTCCATCTCAAAAAAAAAAAAAAAAAAAAAAAAAAAGAGGCCGGGCGCGGTGGCTCAAGCCTGTAATCCCAGCACTTTGAAAGGCCGAGGCGGGTGGATCACAAGGTCAAGGTCAAGAGATCGAGACCATCCTGGTCAACAAGGTGAAACCCCGTCTCTACTAAAAATACAAAACG